GGTGTAGTAATTGTGACATTACCATCAGACGAGTTTACCATTGTTATATTTCCTTGTTTGATGGAGTAATTTGCTGGGGGAGATGCGTCTGCATTACAGAATACTTCAAATGTTTTATTTGCTGTGGCAAATTTCATATCCGATGTCAGCTTTGCATTTATTGGTTGATATTCTGTATAATAATAATGATAAGATAGCACAAGTCACAAGAGATCGAAAACAAATTCTCAGGCTCGACGCTAAGACCATTCGATTGCTCAACCATCTGCCATGCTAAGCAAGTAAGCCTATATAAAATGTTGATCTAAATAACAGAAGGTACATACAGGTCTCTTCTGTTTACTCTACCTTCCTCCCTGTTTAGCAAACTGATGTCTTTGCTACCTGATCATTAGCCAGCCGCATCTGATTGGCTGGAAACAGTCAGCCAATCATCGATAGCGTGCAAGGCTGAATAAAAAGGATACCTGCAGCGTTTTTCTTCTGCAGATAATAAATTTATCTTGTATAAGTTCACTTAAGGTTAAAAAAGACATTTCAAAAACGGTTTGTTTTCATTCGTTGGCCTGTTAGTTAACTTTGTTTCCACTTTTTTCTTTTTCTATTTTTTTGTTAATTGTTCAAAATATAGATGATGATATCCAACAAATCCCTCTCTTCCTCTCTTTACATTGACACACAACATATCATGAGTGATTGCATTTTGCTATAAAGTCGCATACCTGTTACTTTAACAGACGTACAATTAGTCTCCTCCCCAAAACCGTTAGACACGTGACAGCAGTACTTTCCTCCTGATGCTTTACCAGTGATGTTGAATGACGTCACACTGGAATTAGCTATTGTTCTGTTGGTATCCTTGTGTATCCATGTAATACGAGGTGCTGGATCTCCAGAGGCATTACATCTTAATGTTATTGATTCTCCTTGTTTACCAGAAAGGTGGAAGGTTAGATTCTTGACACGAGGTAAAACTACAAAAATAAGAAAGATTGAATGTAAGATTTTGCTTTTGCTTATCAACTGACTTAACTGCTATTAAAGTTGGACGATTTGTTCACAGTATTATATTCTTGTGTGGAAAAAAAATTTTTTTTCCATGTCACATTTAATTGACTTTTTTAGTCTTTCTCGAGCTCAAGAAGACAAATAAACACAAGTTGGAGTAGTTTTTAGCGCAGATTTCGTATGAGTGTGAAAAGTCACAACACACTGTACGGTTACGGTGGGGCACGGCGCGGATACGGCAAATGATTTTTAATGGACAAGGCTGACACGGTCACGGCAATGTGCGCTCCTTGCTGTAAGTTATGTTTTTTCAACGTCGTACGAAAACTGATCTATGTATTTGGTACCTTACCTCTACTCTTTTATGAAGTGCATAACCATTTTGTCTTTTCGATTTAGAACTTCCAGAACATTTATTTAGAAAATGAAGATATATCTAAGTATTAATTTGAAAATTGTAAAAAAGGTCTTTTTAACGCAAAACTTTCACATGGCTAGTGTTATCACTTGAGCTTTGTAATTTTTCCATATGATGGGAATCAAGGTTTACAAGTCTGTGAGTTGACGTCTGATTTTCCCACTTTCGTGTCTAGATTATACCCTCGACAGAGAAGTAAGAAGGAAAGAAGGAAAGAAGGAAAGAAGGAAAGAAGGAAAGAAGGAAAGAAGGAAAGAAGGAAAGAAGGAAAGAAGGAAAGAARGAAAGAAGGAWAGARRGAWAGAAAGAAAGAAAGAAAGAAAAAAGAAAAAATGTAAGTTAATGTAAAGCCGTTTACCTATCACTTCAAGGGACGTGCAATTGGTCTCATTCCCAAAATCGTTTGACACGTGACAGCAATACTTTCCCCCTGATTCTTTACCAGTGATTTTGAATGACGTCACACTGGAATTTGTAATTGTTCTTTTGGTATCCTGGTGTGTCCATGCAACACGAGGTGCTGGATATCCAGAGGCATAACATCTTAATGTTATTGAATCTCCTCGTTTACCATAAAGGCTTGGATCCAGATAATTGATACGAGGCAAAGCTGCAATCACAAATAGAGAGAGTATAAATGTGAAACTTTACTCTTGCTAGCTGAGCGTAATAGTCAGGACTGGCAAAGTTGATGAAAAATTTTCATGTTTGGGGATGGTTGAGGGAGGTGTATTTTAGTATTGTATTTGTAATTTTTAATATATATATTATATATTCACATATAACTTATTACTGTGTCTAATTTTAGCTCATCTTTCTTAACATAGTTATCTTGTATATTAGTCTTTTTATTAGTATTCATTTACAGGACCCCAATGTAAAACACGCTTGTGACTTAGGCATTACTGAATAAAGCTTGTTATTATTATTATGAAGGTTCCCAATGCGAACATAAAAACGCAAAAACGAGACCAGTATGATAATATCAAGCTCGATTACCTGCGTATAACATTTTGATGTTTGGCCGACCGTTCGGTCATGTTATTTAGGGACCATCACTGTATAATCCCATATAAGCAACTATTGTATTTATTATTTTCAAATTCTCTTTCCTGCCCAAATTAAACATTGATTTGGATTGTTTCCATGTTCGCATTCTTTTGAGGGAAAAATATGCTTTATGGAATCAGTCTAGTATAGTTTGGGATGATATAATTAATATTCAATAGGACTACACGTCCGTCCAATCTGGAAATAATTGAATTCAAAATACTCCCCTGACTGCGAAATTGGACTCAGCTTATCGGCCTCTTCCAATTTTGTCAGTTCGCGGAATTTTTTCTCATCCAATTATTTCCAAATTGGACAGCATTTAGTCCTATTACCTATGCAAA